CATTGAACTCAAGACAATCTCCATCTGTGGAAATTTTTTTTGTTACTCTAGAGCATTACTGAAAAACAAATGCACATCTCACTTCCACTGCACACAGGTGATGAATCACACAGATCTTTATAAAAAAAATTCCACCATAGTCTAAACACACAGTGATGAATCTTAATGGCACCTAAATTGTATTTGCCACATCGACACTTTAAAATAATATTCAACCAAATCTGCTTTTTATATCTTTTTCTCTGCAAGGTTAAACTATAGAGAAAGGGACATAAAAGGAACAAAAGATACAGAAAAACGTGACCAACAGCAACATGCAAAAGTTTTGGCACTATTTTTATTGTTTTTTTATTTTTTATTAAACAAAACTAAATCACATTTTGCTGAGGATTTTCAGTGCAGTTAAGAAAATAACATGCATGCAAGATATATACTAAACTAATTGTGACAAATTATGTTTGCTCATTTTAGAATATTTCACTTCAGACAAATGCTGATCGCCACACAAAAAAAATGAAAAAAAGTGCCTAAAGATGACAAGACACTAAGAGAAAAAAAGGCATTTCAAGTGTCCATAATAATGACGTCACTCGGTTAATAGAAACTCCCAAAAAATACATCATGCTAACTAACCTAGCACAAAATTACAAAGTCATCCTCAGTTTCAGCAAAATGTGACCATAGACATCCTAAAAAAGTAGAACTAACAAGAAACCACACACACACAGAAGTAGCTTCTATAAATTGAATTGGCTGCTTACAGACAAATACATTTGATGTGCTAGGAAGACTGCTTCAAAAAAAGAGAAAAGAACAAAGAAAACAAAAACAAACCTAAAACAAAGTGAACAAAAGTTTTTTTTTTTGCAAAATCTAGTGGTTATGTTAGGAAGTTCTAGAAAAATAGATTCTCTTTTTGCTTGTAACAATATTCAAATGTAACTTCAAATATATAACTTTTCATCGTGGTTTTGCAGTCTTGCTATCACATCTCGTTGGCAGCACACAAAACGACAGAAATGAAGAACAAAAAACAAAAACTGTATAATTAATAAGCGTCAAAAGTTAACAAGGTCAAAGGTGAAATTTCAAGCATCAGAGAAGCTCAGAAGACAAGGATTGGACGATGAACTTTTGACGTCACATCGACATGCTAGGCAAACGATGAACAAACGGGCACGAAGATATCTAGAATAAAACAAAACAAAACAGGGAGAACACCCTAGTTAAAGCAACAACTAAAAAAGGAAGGGACAAAAGAAAACCATAAATGATTCTCTCCGCATGGGGCTCTGTACATCCTCTAAACATTGAACAATTAATGCAACACGAAGGAGAGGAGGGGCTGAGCACATGCTGACGTCATTAACAGATGAGACAACACTAAGACAACACAGACTGCCGACTCGCTCAAATGAAACGGTGACGTGGCTTTTCCAGGGTGGGCATTTTGTTAAGGCTAAAGGGGGGGGGGGGGGCGGCTCTTAAGGTCAAAAGATAATAAATTGGTAAAGCCTCTGAGATCTTTACTACAGAAAACATCAAAAATTTGTATCAGATCGAAACTGAGGTATGCAATCTGGTATACCTAAAAGGTTGATTGCACTGGTGAAAAATATAAAATAATTTTGCTGCATGGAGCTGCTCAGATTTCAGTGACTTTGGGAATGTAATGCACCCAAACCTGAGGAACTCTCAGAGCTGTCAAAAAGAGCTTTTTTTGTTACTGATTTTTTGTGCGTGCTAGAGTGGTCTTCTGTTCGCACTAGCCCTCCTGGACAGTGCAGTTTTTGTGCTTCTTGTTTGGAAAACGAGTGGATTTGGTGGAGCTACAAGAGGAAAGGAGTGGCTCAGATATTTACGCTAGGAAACCCAAACCCCTTAGAAGCCACCAGACAACACCAAGCTGTCACAGAGCATCAGTTTCTGGTTCACGTTCATTCAGAAGAGGTGAGAAAAGTTTTTTAAAGGCAAAGTGACTGCTTAAATAATAAAAAAAAAAAGGTCTGTAATAACAGAAAAAAGGTGAAAATGTAAAACTTGTTAGAGAGGCCTTAGACTAGAGAAAAACAAAAATGTAAACCTGGCTTGTCAAAACAAATATTACAAAGCCACAACTTTTAATTAAGACTTCATCAGACCCTTTCGCCTTGTAAACATCTGCTGAAGAAGAGAACATTTGGCACATGACGAGCACAGTCTGCATGGAAGGCCAGTGACTTCACAAATAAGGACCCATTTTGTTTCCTGTATACTGAAACAAGTCTTTTTACTACTGGAAAAGGGTGAGGGGGCCAGGAATGGCTACAATAACACAGGGTTTTATTAACATGTGTGTATATATATATATTCACAAAATAAAAAGTTAAAGTGAATGTGTTGCATGGTCAGAGCAGTGTTCCCATGATGCACTGACCCCTTCGTTACTAATCTACACCCTGGACTCCACACTCTCCCCCCACGGTTTGTTCTTCACAACGTTTAACTATTTCTCCTCGTTTCACAGGGGTCACCCCCCTTCCAAAACGGAATGGAGAGCCGTTTCTTGGGGATGTACACATCAAGAGCAGGAAATTAAGACAGTCTGGTAACCATTTACTTTCTGCCAGCTTCAGATTGCCAGACACCTCATTTGCTCAGGCTACAAGGGTGCAACACAGCGGTACTCTAAACATGCAGACAGACAGCTGTGCCCCGGGCATGACAGCGACTGTGAAATCTCCACTCAAGAGCTCAAATGGTTTGGGATCTTTAGCAGCACTGGTTAAACCCTCCAGATAAATTTCACATTTTTCCCCCCCACTGTGTACATCAACAATACACAACACTGAGTGAAAAGGGCTACATAGGTCAGTAGTTTAAACCTCACACATTTGAATATATTAACCAACATTAGGATTCTACAAAATACTGTCTTTTTCAGAGAAATAATTTAGGCAATAAATATACTCCGACACTCAGGAGCAGTATAAAACCTCTATAAAAATAGAAAAGGCATTACAGTTTTGTAATATACATCATCTGGACAACTTTTTCTCTTTGCATTTATATAAAAATCTCATTATATGACCCTGGAAGCCTAAGTATTCATTTAATTATTTCCCAAAACAGATAATTTACGTCACCAATTTGAAAAATACTTAGTGCTTTTATTTTCTATAATACAACTCACTCTGGAAATCTATATACGAAAGCCAGTGTTTCAACACAGCGCTCTGTGCCTGTGCCAGTAAAATCAGATTGTAGCTTCAATTTGAGAGGTAGAAGAGAAAACACTGAGGAGGAGTGCACATTACTTGAAAACTCCCCCCCACCCCCCACGTGAGGGAATACAAGGGATTTTGAAAACTAGCCGTGTGTCAATATTGTGCTGACATAGGCGAATGGAACCATGATCAGCCATTTCTTGAACTGGGGTTTGGACCAGTAGCTTATAGGCTTTCACACTAAAAACGTTATACTCCGTTACATTTAAAATATCCTTTTTTTTTTAACTCCATGGTTGTCCATAGCTACACTATCACCACTGCTGCAGCGAAACTATCCAGCCCATGGCAGGGACTGAAGATCGCTTTCCTGCTGCAGAGGGAGGGAAAAGAAAAAAAAATACTCCAGGAAGGAATACCTGGGGAGAAGCAGGGAATATAACTCGAGCTCAAATTGCTCCGTGAAATTTTTGTTCTCCGGCCTGGACCGATCACTCCTAACCCTCTACCTTTTATTTATTTTTTTGTTCTAGGAAAACCTGGGAGGCATTTCTTTATTCAAAGGGTTGTAGGAGTGTGGAACAAGCTACCCGGCCACGCTGTTGAGGCCGCTACCCTGACGTCCTTCAGGAAACAGCTGGATGAGATCCTCCAATCAATACTAACTACCAAATGGTCTCCTCTCCTGGTGTAATGCTTCTAAGGTCTAGCAGAGCCCTCTGCAGAATATTTCACCGGCTCCTCTATGAACCTTTGATTTCTCCTGGACAGCTGAAAGCAAGGTGACGGCACGTGTTCAAACTTGGCGACGGACCATCCCCGAGGGAAACAAAACCCAGGAGAAAGACGGGGTCTGCCCAGGTGCAAAGCTGAGGACCGCGCCCCCCGTCAGACCCCAGCCTCTGCTCTCTATCAAACGGCGGGGGTGCAGGACTCTCCGATGCCCGAAACCCACATCCGGGAAGAAGTCTGAGGGACTTCCCAGGACTGCCTGCAGCCCGATATCTACGCCAGTTTCAGGATGCCTCCGTGCCGCTGAACGACAGCGCCGGACTTCACTGCAGACAGGCAGCTGAACACGTGTGCCAGGAAGTCCAACGGGCGAACCCTAAGACCAAACTCTGACGGCTGCAGCGCCTCATGCCCAATAATTGTTCATGTGTAAAATTTACAATACTGATGTGTGTAATTGATGTACAAGGTGCATAAATGCGAGTCTTTCACGTCACAGGTGTTATTTGCTTCACTGGTATTTTGGGAGAATGGGGAAGTTACTGTACGGCAGCTGGAAAGTTTAGATTGCTTCGATTTGCACGGGACATTCCAATGCAGGAAAAATCCATATGATACATTATACATAATTCTGTGTGAAAATGCCCTGTGGCCCGGTTTTGAGAAAGGAAATGGATGTTTTGTGCTTCATGATTTATCACCAGCTACGTGTAGCTTTCGATTCTGAGCAATGAACTGCAAACACCTGCTTTTCTGCAACATTACTGGCCAGATTTCAAGCTCCCTTGTATAGATGATGCAGTCAAGTTGAAACCACTTTGAAGCAATTTAGATCATGAGCTCACTCTCATAGCACACCTTGTTTAACTACCTCATTTTAAACCCCTCTCAACCAAGCTATGCATGTGCTCATAAGTAATGTTTATCAGCATAACTTGTCATAATTAGCTTTTTCTTCCATGTCGCAGAAGTGAAGAAAACGGTCAGTTTTATGAGGAATCTTGAATTGCTTTCTTTGAAAACACTCCACAGGGGCAGTTTTACTAGAGGTTTGACATTCAATTCAGGGGTTAAAAGCAGAAGACATTTATTATGGCTACTGGCTTTCTTTGTGTAACATGCCTAACAACTTTAATAACTGTTACACCGCAAACTTCTATATGATATGGCACTTTAACTTAAAAAAAGAAAAAAAAAGTACAGTTTTTTTTTTAAAAAGTTGAAAACCACAACAGAAAAAAAACGTATCTGTTATTTAAATAGAACAAAATCTTAATTTTAACATTTGTTTTGTGACTACAGAGAATAACAGCAACCCCAGCAAGTGGAGCTCCAATAATATGCAAGGGGTCATCTATCTTTCCACTCTCAACTTACCAGGAAACATTTTCTAACCAAGTCCATTTGAGAGAAAAACGCTCAGTATGGCTTGCTGTCATTTTTGGATCGTTTTAGCTGGACTTTCAGTCGCTTCATGCCGATCTGAAAACCGTTCATGGATTGAATGGCCGCCTGAGACGAGACTGGATTGTCGTAACTTACAAAACCTGCAAAAAGAACATTCCCATGAATCACTGCACACAAGACGTTTCTACAACAGCCCTCTGGAAACTACTGTTTAATGCAACTGCGATTGTAAATTTCTAATTTAACACCTATATGCCACACCAACTTTGCTAATAGAGACAAGTGACCCAGATGATAATCCTGGGACACATACACGTAAACGGAAGATTTGGACCCTAGTTTTTTTTGGTTCCAATTGGAGTGTTTTCTTTCAGTTAGCAAAAATCAGGTGTTGCTGGCAGTTCAAAACCCTCGCTGAATAAGTCATGGCTTTCTACAAGAAACAGTAACGAAACAGGATATTGACAAAACGGCCATAATTCAAAGCTGGGACAAGCTCGAGATTTAAAATCGCAGGCGTCCCCATACTTCTTCTGTTCAGAATTAAGCACTTGCTGCTAGGAAAATAAAAGCAGCTTGTACATGCTCGCGAGCTCCAAAGGGCAATTTTCTCAAGAATCAAATTATGATTTCACCGCACAGATAAGTTCCAGCGTGGCTTTATGTCTCAGATAATATTCTTTCACTGCTGTGAACAAGCTTGCTTCACGGCCCACTGCTCATTTCCACACTACTGAGTTCCTCTGCAATGTCACTGAGCAACACATTCTGTTACGCAGACGTGCAAGCAAATGATCGATCGATAGCCTCTGAACGACATCTGCGTTTTAAAAGTCACATTCTCCTTAAGCAACAGTGCATGGCTGTCATTACATAAAACATGCTGTTACTGATGTAAAACATTTCCCAAGCGTGTCTATAGTGACGTTTTTTTGTGTGAAGACTTAACATTGAGAACGTCAGGCTCCGTCATGTATATTACAGACAACATGTAACATGCCCCAGGCAGCTGGTGTTCAGTGATGATTAAGAACAATCTAATGCTCAATTTTTAAGGCAGAGACAAAAACATTTCTTGCATTACTACTGTCATATTCCAATGACAGTAATGCATAAAAACAATCTTTTCTCAATAGCTGGACTTGCCACAGGAAATCCTCTTGACTTACCAAAACATTTGCTGAGGTTTGTCTGCTTGTCAATAAACACCTTGGCAGAGATGACGTTTCCAAACGGCATGAACATCTGGAGAAGATCCTGGTCTCCAAATTCCTGGGGTAGATGGTAAATAAACAGGTTCGCCCCTTCCGGACCTTGGAACACAAAACGACACAGGGGTTAAACGCACTCAAGCCCGCGTCTCGAAAGCTGGCTTGAAATTCCAGTCCGTTCGCAGCTGCGTCAGCTCTAACTGACCCGTATCCGCACAGCGGACTTACACCGAAGCCGTGGATGCGCTGACAAGGGAAGGTCATTGGCAAGGGTCATTAACCACCCTTGCCACATTTAAATCGTGCATGGCGTGCAGAAGCACAGAAAAGACTGATGCTAAAAGAACCACTTAAAATGACCTTAGAGGGCACCGAGAAAGCCAATGCAAAAAACAAAACTGAACAAGTATAGCCGACATTCAAAATGACCGTTGGCCGGAGTCATGGCTCGGACAAAGAGCTCAACCTGCACCCTCGGGGAGTGCCCTTTTTTTAAGCCAGTATGACCACACTTCATCTGCAACAGGCTTTACACTCGCCACCAGGGGCTCGCCCGTCGGACACTTCATCCGCGAAACTCGCTCTGCCAGTGGGAGCTGGGCCATCCCCAGCAGCTCATCCAGGTGGATAATAATAATAATAATAATCAACTTTATTTTATATAGCGCCTTTAAAGGTGGCTTCTCAAAGCGCTTTACAGGATGAAAATAACAATAAATAAGAAGACTACAACAATAAATAAGAAAATTTCACAAGACAGGACACAATTATAATTACAACAATAACAATAGAGGAGACCGTGGAAGATGGATCCCAGCTCCGGCTGAACTCGAGCCACATTGCGGCCAAGGGAGGGAGGGGGGGGCCCCCGGCGGGCTGCGGAAGAAGCCACTTGCCTTCCTTCTGGCTCCCCGCGGCGCTGACGCTCTGCTGCGTGAGCAGGCTCTGGTTGTAGAGCGTGGGCAGCGCCGCCGCCGCGTACTGCTGGATCCCCGAGTACGCCTGGGTCAGGGCCTCCATGGTGCTGCCCGTGCCGTTCGAGAGGGCGCCGCTGCCCAGGCCTCCGTTCAGGGCGGCCATCCCTGCGAAGACACAACAGCCACCGCTGACAGCGATCCCAGCGCGCCCGCGCCCAGACGCGGGCGCTCAAGCCGACTGCTGGCCAGCCCTCGGAGTAGGAACTGTCGCCCACCTATCCCGCCCCCCTGGCCTGCTTTTGGGGGAAACAAAATTCGGCAAAATGCTCCCGTTTTAAAGATCCTCTCAGGACTGAGGAAAAACGGAGGTTTAGAAGATCTGCCAACAAATAGCCCTGGGTCTGTTGGGTCGACAGAAACAGAGGATCTGGGTTTATACATATATTAAAGAATAGGGGAGAAAATGCATTAAGTCAAGCGTATCGGACACGAATCTTACATCCTTTCACCACGAACTACCATTTGCTTTAGTAGTTCAAGTAGGTAGCTGCGCCAGTATGCGCACTGCAAAGGAACAAGTAACAGTTTATTCCACGCTGAAAAGAGACAACGTGTCTGCTGTGGAGCCTTCTTCAAAACGTTGCATTTCTTTTCTTCATGGAATAAACCTTTACCCATTCCTTTGCGTCAGTCGCTTTGTCTACAACACAAATTAAGCACTACCGAGTTACGGTTTCAGTTGTACCCTGTTACAAACTGCAATGAGCAGATCCAGTACATGTCCTAAACTCCCAGCTGAGGGTGTTCCCCAGCTGCTGTTGTAGTTTTCAGCTCAGAAAACGGCTTTGGCGCACACAGTTCTCTCACCTGCTAGAGACCCAACATTGAGCCCTGCTGTGGCCCCAGCGGCCAGGGACTGGAGCGCCCCCAGTGACGCCATCGGGTTCACTGAAGAGTTGGTACTAGACGTGGGGGAGGACCCAGCTACAGAAACACAAAACGTTTCGACACATGAGCTCCAGGTTTCAGTTCCATCGCTCAAGACTCTACAAAATAAAGTGGATTGCAACACACAGCAGAAAACGTTATGTTACTTCCACAAATAGTACTGCTCACTGTCTGTAAACCAATCAGTGACTGCATGCAGGATCAGTGGGATTACTGCAGCAATAGGGGTAGCAAAATCCCGTGCAATTCTTTCAGAAATGTGAACCATCACGGTTTCTGCCGAGACCACTGCTCTGCCAGCTGCAGAGTTCACTAACTAGATCGGCCTTCTACCTCCTTTTGGTCTGCAAACCCATCAAACAGTGATGCAAAAACTACCAACATACTCCAAAAAGGAGTTACACCTATCATGGGGTAAGGGGACTAAAATAAATGAGCCTTCCTTGCATTTCTCACGCGTTGAGCTAAATGGAGCTGTTCGTTTTGCACCTCCCTTCAGAACTAGCAAACAGCCTTGCGCCTAAGGATACTTGAACAAAAACAACCAGGGCTGATTGGCTGGAGGCTTAAAGCTTATGAGCACCAATTTTCATCGTGGTGCTCAATCTGGTGAACAATCAAACCTGTGGACCCCTCAAGGAACACCCCAGGACTGTGTAAACTGCAAGTCAGACTATTATTTCAGAATTGCACTCAACCGCTCAATATTTACGTTTTTAACACAAAAAAAAACTAAGATCTTAACCGTTTTGCATTGTTAGAAATGGTTAAAAATAAGAAAAGTCAAACAAACCCTTGTATGTATCCCAGGAAGATTGTGCCTGCTGTCCCGTACCTGAGCTGGTGAGCACACTGAGGGGGCTGCTTGAAGTAGTGAGCGCGTTTGAGCCAGTGGGAGTGCTCTGTGTGGCGCTGGCTGCAGCCGCCAGAGCAGCCAGATTCTGCATTGCATTTAGTCCTGCAACACAGCACACACACGGGAGGGGACAGTTAGACCCTCCCCACGTAGACCTCCACCATGCAGGTACCCCAGGACACCCCCGCATCAAGTCTAAAAACAGAGGTCTTGCAGCTCCGACTTCTTTTCCTGTGCAAAACAAACTGTGCAAATGCATTCAGCTGTGTGGAAGTCTGGATCAATTTAGTCCTGTCCAGATCTGAACTACATTAGAGGACTCGGTTAGGAGGACATATCAAGTAATGATGCTGCTTGGGGAACACGTCCATTTAAGCAAAACGGGCCTGATGGCCCGTAGTTCATAAAAAGAAGCCGGGCTGGATCTCTCCGAAGTTAAAAACTCGCAAACTGCAGCCTTCGGTGTTTCAGGAACGGAGCGAGTCTTCTTTTTTTTTTTTAGCTCGCCAAGGCAGCATAACGAATCCCAGTGGGAGGGCACTCTCTGGGCACCAGAGAGGGAGGAGGGCTGAAGCATGCACACCTCCCGCTGAACAGCAGCGGGCAACAGATAGCCGCCCGCAACTGCAAGGCCGGGTGCAGGACTACAAGGACTTTCAAAGGACCGGGGTGAAACTCAGCCACGGCCTTCGAAGACAATAACAAGACACTTTTGGGGGAGAAAAAACAACAACATGCTCACCTACGTGCAGAAGGGAACAGCTATGACCACCGTAACATACCAACACAACCATTTCAGGGCAAGATTAAGGCATGCACTACAGAAAACAAAACTGTTCAGGTCAAGTTCTTCACACGCTCTCATTTTACAGCAGTGGGGCACAAAGACTATGTGTCTCCCTCTGTGATTTTACTAAATAAAAGCAAACAAAACTAGAAACCAAATCATAATGCCCACTTTCTTCTCCACTCCATGTAAAACTAATCATGACTGCACAGAGCAGTACTGCTTATGCTCATCATCTGTATAATCATCACCTTGGTAGAAACCTATTAAATACCATTCCCCACAGATTCTATCTGCAGGATAATCGTTTTGGGGAATGACTGGAAAACCAAGCCTGATCCATCAGCTTGAATATAATCTCGACAATTTTAGCTGGATACTGAGTTTCTAGCCCATTATGGCAGTGTTATTAGACAAGTGCATTAAATGCCACTCAGGATAAACACCAGTTACGCTCAGCCATGTTCTAAAGCACCATGGGAGAGAAATTGGTCTAAACAACACAACATTCTCCTGTCTCAGGCTATTCTGTGGTTATAACTATAGAGGAGGCCCTATTAAGCCATTATCAAGAGAGTCATGCACATGGAGCAATTAATAATGTCTTTTGCTCATCTGCTGCACAGCTTGGTCTGAGGGGGGAAGGGCTCACAAGATACAAAACCCTCTTACTAACATCTTTTTTTGTTGCTCAGGCGGTGGGGCCAGAACGGGCTGGAGAATTACCTGTCATTGGATGAAGGTTGCTGAGTGCATTCAGGTTCCCAGAAGAAGCAGACTGCTGAAGGAGCTGCAAATAAAGCTAGACATTACACCAAAACAGAAAACACAGAGAGGGTCAGGACTGCTTCCACTCTGGTGAATACTGGAGAAAAGAGAGAAACAGCAAAGGAGGAAGGCGAGTAAGAAAAAAAAACTCAGAAAAGGGAGAAAGACTGAAGGAAGAAAAGGCAGAAAGAAGTGAGAGATCCACAGCACACCATGGAGCAGCACTAACATCTGGGCCAGGCAGCTGTGTTGGAGTTCAGCATGCAGGCTGGGTGGGGATGCTCAGCCAATTTAGTCTTGATGTGGACTTTTAGATTCGAGGGGTTTTAGGGGATTAATTGCACACTGCAGCAATGCCGTGCCTGATCCAACAGAGCTTCATGACCATTATGCAAAAAAAAATCCCAAACAAACCAGAGAACAAAAACTTCACACAGTGGTCAGTCAAAACACTGCAAACCAAACGGCAAACAGAACACCCGTATGACGACCATATACAAGTGGAGAAACAAGCTCCCTTCAGAGGATACCTACTGATTAAAAAGACATGCGTCCCTCCAAAAAGCATATCATATGGCTCAAGTCATAAAGCTGTAGCCCTTACTTACAGACGTGAAAATAAAATTAACGCAACCTCAGTTTTCTACTCAAGCTACGGAAAGCAGACTTATGCTGCTAAATTCCAATTAAAAAAAAAATCTACCGCGCAAATCCATAACCAATCCAAACCTTGCAAGACTGAAGTGGGGATTCCTAAATAACCACTAAGGTGACCTCCCCAGGTGCAAGCTACCTCCCTCACAAATTCAACCAAAGCACGCTTTAAAGACTTCTTTAAAGCAGTTTTTGGAAAACGAAGCAGGAAGACTTCTCTAGTTCGGAAATGTCCCCATCAAGAAAAACAGTAGCGCCTTTCAAGTCCATGAGACTGGACTTTTCCACCTATTTTTTGCTAATCCTTTCAGCGAAAGGAGTGTCTGCTCTTGAAATGACACTTACTGCTAGATACTGTGGCCCCAGGGAGTTGAGGCCTGTAAGATTCCCCCACATGGAGGCAGCATTGAGCTGCTGCATCTGCTGCTGAAGCTGCTGTGCAATTCTCTTCTGTTCTTTGTCCTTCTGTGTGTCAGCAAACTTCACCACAATAGGGGAGGAGCAGCCCTACACAAAGAGAATCGGGGGGGGAGAAAGAGGTCAATGTTCAGTCCTGTTAAAACACGCAAAGCTGAGGGAGCTCAGGTCTGACCGATGCAGAAAAGTGTTGGGCGTCTCACTTTAAAAGGATCACACACAGCAAAGTAAAGGATACTATAGTTCTGAACAGCTGGGCAGGTATTAATGATGGTATTGTACAGCACAGGTGTGTAAGTAACCTGCTTCCACTTTCCAACACCTCTACTGAAAATTCATTAGCAACACACCTTGCTTTATAACCAAACTTTAACCCCCCTCCTCCTTGAAACAGTGAAGGGTAAAAGTTCCAAAAGCTACCCTGAAAACAAGAAGAAATTCATCATTTTGGAGTAAGTCAGTCTAAAGAGTTGCCAAGCAGCTGAATAAATCTGAAAGACGCATCTGAAAAACGCACAGCAGTTTTGGAACCGTCTATCCCTTATTAACGTGCGGGGAAACTTGAACAACGTGACCCCGTGTGACTGCTCTGACACTCCCAGCCCACAGCTCCACAACAATCAATGCAAGCCTCCCTTTCCATGGCTAGTTTCACGAGCAAAATGAGAAACAATGAAATATACTGCCGGACTTTCCAGCACTTGGAAAATTCCTTCTCAATTCTGAGCAGCTGTGCAGGGACATGAATTTGCCATCCCTCCTTTCTTCTTCACTGCTCCTGGCCAGATCGAGCCCTGATTTTCCAGTAAGACACTCCTAATGTAAATACCATTTCAAGTGCACAGGAGTTCGCTGCCAGGAAAGCAAACTGGCTTTAAGCTTCGAAAAACACTGGTGTCGAGTATTAACAGTTTAGCAGGCCCATTTTCACAGGCTAAGAAAGAAAACGTAAGGCCTAACACAGAAACACCGCGAATGGTTTATCTCCCTGATTTAAGGAGCACAAGGAAAAATGAGCCACCAGGTAATGATTTATGGTTTTAAGATTTACCTCCATAGTCTGTGACTGGTGCATTGCTTTTATAGCTGACTGTGCCATTTGTCTTGCTGTAAAGGTAACAAAAGCACATCCTGCGAACATAAGAAGAAGAGTCATTACAAAGAAGACCCTGATATATTTACTAGAAGACGGCATCTTTAAGAAAAATAAAAAACTACAAAAGTTTATCTAAAATTGGTTTTTATACACTGCAGAATTGCTTGAGATAGCTGTGAAACGCTGAGTAAACAAGACAGAAGCACAACAGAACTGTGCTCCAACGTCCCACTGCTTTAGTTTGAGTAGAAGAGGGGCTTCAAGTGAAGCTGCCTTACCTCGACTCAACCCATCTGGTCCGCGCAATATTCTACATTCCTCAATCTGTCCGTAGGGTGAGAACATGAGCCTGATGTCGTTTTCATTACACTTCTTTGAAATCATTCCTATGAACAACTTCCTGTCTTCCACCGCTGGAACAGAACAATCAAACAGTAATTTTAACACCACTTGCTCGACATCAAAAGAGCACCAGAGTGAAATGTTGTCAACACACAGATTTCGAGATTTCACCCAAATGCTAAATCCCTTTGAAGAGACACCATGGAACAAACAAAACATGCCTGTGTTTTTTTTCCTCCAAAACTTAAAAACAGGTAACAATAGAGAAAGTTTTTTCCTCTTCATATAAAACTTCAACAATGAAGACATCCATATGTGGATGTTAGGCTCCATTAAAAATAAATCCACCAACTTAATAAAAGCGGTTCTACTTTTTATGATCGCGAGATTAACCATGATGTTCTTGGAAACCTGCATGAAGTGCAACACAACAGCTCATACAAGTCCCAGAATCTCCGCCAAGAGGTACCATTCAGTCTTGCGTCTCTTCTGCGGCTTTTGGAAAAGCTCCACCCTCCACACCCAACCCCTCCACCTCCTCCTCCTCCTCCTCCTGCAAAAGGGGGAGGCCCCATCTGGGTACAATCCCAAGCGTGTGCTGGTTTATCTCCAGCAGGAGTCCCTCCCCACAAACACGGGAGGATAAGGGGATGCTGGGGAGCCCCCATCCTCTTGGAGGAGCCATTAACAGCACTAACGCGTACGGCGCTGGGCGATTTCCACACTCCTTGTCCTCCCCAGGTGACCCAGTGTCCTAGATTGCCCTGTCGCCCTAATCGGCCACAAATCCAAACATTTACCATTGTTCTTTTCACTGTCCGCCGGCTTCATCTGAATAGGGTGATGCATCTGTTGGAGAGGAGAAACATCACAGGAATCAAAACAAGTACTCGACTTAGACGGCGAGAGACGAGGAGAGCGCCACAGTTTCAAAGAAAGAGCCACCTCCCATGATCCTAAACACTGCTCACTAATGTACTTAAAATACTGTATATCAAGCTTTCCCCATTTATCAGCTGAGTATTTTGAAAACTGAACAAATCTAGGAAGTGGAACTAGGCTGAGACAGAAAGAACCAGTACTTAGAACATGGCTGTTTGCAAGATTCAGGGAGAAAAAGACGCTATACAAAGACTGGTATACGGTACACAAATAAACCTATATTTAACACCGCAATCCACTTGGGGGGACTAAGAAGGTTCGAGTGGGGAGCTGCGCCAGCCTGAGATTAACAGAATAAGTAGGTTTATTCCACGTGGGAAAGCAGAAAGAACGAAAGAATGCAAAGTTTCGTCTGTGGGGCCTTCTTCACGCATGTAGAAGAGACACTGGCGCCACAGCCGAAACCTGGAATTGCCCTCTGTTTGAAGAAGACGGATACAGGAAGAAAAAGCTCAGGGGAACACCAGAGAAAGGGCCGTCTGCTGCAAAACCATTATTTGGCTTTTCCTAACCATCTTGGACTGTAAACCCGAAGCCACTATTTTTAAGTTCGGAACATCGGGCACAGAGCATCAGTGAACTTGGCTGAGGATGTTCAAAACGCCACTTTCAAACCGGAGAGCAGTCGGAGCGAGACCGACCCAAGAATGGCAGACGTCAGCAGCCTCCTCCCCGGTGGCCCACGTCTCAGTACCAGCCCGGCCTCGTGGCACTTACCCCCGGCAGGATCTTCATGTTGTGAAGGGCGTTTTGTGCTTCCAATGCTGCTTTACGTGTATAATAAGTTACAAAACAACAACCTGCAGGGAAAATAAAATGACAGAATTTAAATTCATCGCCATTAACCCCAATGACCTCACAGTACATTTTTACACCATTTCTAAAACAGATCTGGTTTGATTACCTGCACTGTAGTGCCTGCCCAGTAAAATGCTACAACTAGGAAATCGATTAAATCAATCGGGCAATTGAAGGAACAGAAGAAACTGGGAAAAGGTTTTAATGTGTAGGCCCATTTCATTACCTAAACAGTTTTAATCTCTTACCTGGCGTAATCTGAAAGGACTTTTAAGCAATTTCAGGCAAACACAAGAACGTCAGAAAGGTTACCATTAAAGTGAGACTCTTCGGCCAGGACAGTACAGGAATGTATGCCAGGGGCGTTTCCTGCATTTATGTGCTACCAGACAATTATTACAACCTTTCCACTATTGCCAGTTTTACAGCAAAGGTTTTATGGTCTCTCAGAATCGCCAGCCGCTGAAAAGCGAGATGCTGTCCCAGTAAGGTCGGCTCTCACTTCATTCCGGACAGCGAGGCTGTCATCCAGGACAAGGGCCTGTACATGCCCATTTCATTTGTTTAAAAAAAAACCTGTACTTTGAGGAAAACTGTAAAAGCTGCAAAAATAATAAAGGTTCATTTCTGCTTTGAAAGCACGGATTTGCACCTCTTTCACAGGACGGCATTATAAGGCCCAGTCTGCCGCCAGACAGCGGTCGAAAAGAGGGCAAACAAAAATTTATCCCATGTGCTTTTTACACATTGCAGAATAAAGATGCCGAGGAGATTTAAAGGGATTTAATGGACTGAAAAAACATGAACTAGCTATTGGAAAAGCCCATTAACAGATGTTTAGCGCTTGGATTAATTTCCCATGTCTACCAGAAATTTATAGCGTACGAACGGAACAGAAAGAAGATGGCAAAGTTAATATTTCTACATCTTGATTTTCTCCTAAATCAAAAGTGAACCTCTGGTACAAAACAGACAAGGAACACAAGTCGTCTTTTGTGCTGACCCCAAGAGCTCGCACCCCCGCTGTTCTTAAAGACAGAGGTAAAAAGGCATGTTAGAAAATTCAGTCTTTTTGTATTTAAAAAACGCTGCCTTTTAGACCGGCTGAATGTCAAAGAATAAAAGGAGCCGTCACCGGAAAATGACATCTCGACGCAAGAGAAAGAGCCAAACAATGGCGAAAGGGCAGGCAGCCCAGACGCCAGGCGAGCTGAAAGGCTCACCTTTGCTCTGCGGTGGGTTTTGACTCCGATCCCGGAGGACGTTGATCTCGTACACGGCGCCGTACGGCTCAAACAGCTCCCGCAGCTCCTTCTCGGACCAGGTCCTGGGGATCTGCCCCACGAACATCTTGATGGCGTCGATGTCGGGCTGGTCAGGGTGGTCCAGCGTCCCGTTCATCTTCTTGGCGCTGAGGAAGAGACCGCGAGAGGCCGGTGAGGGTGGGTGGGGGTGGATCCGCGGGCAAAAACTTGGGTTCCTTCCAGAGCCTCCCTCTGAAGGGACCCAAAAGACACTGCTGGAGCAGCCGAAGGGGATGCAGGAGACAAGGTGAGGGCGTCTGTTTGAGGGTCGTGCCGCGATTCTGGCTGAGCCATAAGAGATCACTCAGAAAACATGACTTTTTAAGATGACTTTGATTCGACTTTACCTACAACCTACAAAAAAAAAACAGAACTTTGCAGCGATAAGTAACAGCCATAAGGTACCCAGGATAAACAACCCATGCCTGTGCACTATACTGTGTCAATACAATTAGCTGCCATGCTCATACACTGCATTTTATTCTGCAGCTCTGCCATAAAGCCATGAACCCTGATGGCAGCTTAAGGCAACATCAAACAGCTCAAACTTTCATGGAAAAAATGAAAAACCTTTCTTACCTAACCCATGTATATCAAATCAATAGAAACAGGACAGTCTTTATTTGGGCAGAACTGGAAAAAAACATTGGCCCTCAAATTTTAAATTAGGCAAAACACAATGTTTAAAAACCTGTGCTTGCTGATGAAGAGCAGACTGATCTATAAGCTGAACAGGTGAGATGTAAACAGACTGGTCCATCGTAAGAGTTGCACTGCTCAATCTTTATTAAAAAAAAAGAGACAATTAAGAAGTCAAGTACATCGTTTGGAAATGTGCTTTTCTGTCCTCCAAGCTAACTAAAATGCACTACGCTTTAGTAGCTGATGATCATTTCCTTTCAGACATAATGTGTATTGATTAAACACACATCAGCTCATTTTCTCTTCTCACCTCAGTCAACACATTCATCCCTGCAAAAGGGGGTGATTAAGATATTCTAGAAAATGAAGATCAAGTTCCAGTACTAAGGTCTTCTACTGCATTTTATATATAGACAACGATACATCCTGCACATGTAACAAAATCAGGGAAAGACCTCCAAGATTTTTAATCTATTCCACACAGCAGGAAAAAAAAACCCCAGCTAGCTTTCACTGTGCCGAGGAGGTGCGTGTCATCAAGGGACGATCATCTTTTAGTGATGGGAAGGAAAGAGAAAAAGACAGCAGTGCCACGCCTCATCTCCAAGGCTGCAAGCATTATCAACTGCGAAACTCTCTGCTGCAGCTACCTCAGAATAGAGCTGGGATTCAATACCATAACCTCAGGAGACCAAAGAGTGGTTTCTGACATCTGATCCATCCCATATATGAAACAATGCCTCCGTGCCAGTGATCTTGCCGTGTTAAGTCTGATCATACAGTCTAATATCTGTTACAATTATGTCTATTTTAAAGGAGTCAAAGGACAACCTTCATGGAATCTGTTAAATTTTAAGAACAGAAAAAAAAATACTACACATTTATCACCAATGATCATCCACAGTACATTCAAGAGGGAAGTAGAAGCCTGTCCTGTTTTGACGAAAGATGAATTTTAGGGGAAGGCATGTGCCCAAGACAGACTCTCTTGATGTATTTTTGTGTTCGACATGCCAGAGCTGCTCACCTTGCACAAATTCTCCTCTTCCCCCGGTGGCACACTTCTATACAAAGGGGAGACGCACAGATTCTACCCTTCTACACTGTTCGGATTACGATCTTTCCTTCAAAATAAGCAACCCCATATTAAAAAAAACTTCAATAACCTAGCCCCGTATCCCCCTTGAGAAACTAAATGACGGTGGTTAATAACACAAGTCAATTCTTCTTCCATTACACAGAAACACAAATTACTTCAAAGCACAAATGGGTTTTTGCAGGTCTAGGTCCAGATCAATAACAGCTCGAATTATTCCCACAGGACATTTATCTACAGCTTATCTAAGGCTTTGAAGTCCATCAGAACCCAAACCCTAAGGGAGGATGGATCTCGCCAGCTGCTCCACTGGGAATAAGGAGGCATGGAACAAAAAGAAGCACGGGTATCAAACACTTGGCAAAAAATAAATAAAAACTGCAGAGATTCAAGTACGCCTCACTCTTCGACTGCAATAACACCGACAAAACTTTCCTTCAGAAGAAAATCAGTCGAGGTGAGATGCTACTGCATGACTAATGTCAGACCTTTCAAAATAACATGTAGGAAAAGACCTTAATGTCATCAGAAATGAGCTTTTGCTTCAAGTAGAAATGACATTACCCCACTGATGTGACAGTGATTCACCCAGGCTAACATTCACCTATTCAAAGCGTAAATCCTTCTCTTAAACCTCACATCTCCCCCGCGGATTTTTCCTAGGCGCTACCCTTTGGAAGCCATGCAAAAAAAAAAAAGATCACGTGCCATTTTGAACAATTTAAAGTTGTTTTTGACGTTGGCATTGACGCACAGCGCAAAATTTGGATTTGTATTTCCATTATACTCTCTGAATATCGGATCGAAAAGCTGAAAAAAAATGTCCTGGTTGGAATCCAATTAAAAATCCCTCCGCGAGGGATCCCAAGAGGCAATCTGAGAGGAAAAAAATATCATGGTCATGCCTTCACTCAACAGTCAGAATCTTATTTTTGTTTCGTGAATCCTATTTGCAGGTGAAGCATGACAGCAGAGGCAGCTAACATCTCCAGAGGCAAAACCGTCCCCTACTGGAAACAAGCTGCCTCTTCCTTTTAGCCTCAACCGGCACGACCACTGCCCCCTGCAGGTCTGAGCCTGTGACAACTGCTGGATTTCACCCTGGGAGAAGATGGTATCAGCTCGTCTATTTAGCAAAAGTCCATGAAATTGCCATTGCAAATGGCTATTTATTAAGCTTGAGGAACTGATTTCTTTCTTCCCTCAGCAAAAAAAAAAAAAGAAAGTTCCAAAGACTTGAACGTTAATCCGTGCTAAATCTTTTAAGGAAGATATTGTAAGTGCCAAGGCTTGCTTTGCCTAAAAATGGGAACTTTCTTTGCATCTTAACTGAATAAATGTACCTCAGTGATGTCTAGTTAATCCAAAGTTCCACTAAGTAGATTAATTAAGTTTCTACAAGTCTCAATCTAGTGCAATGAATAATGCTGGCTAAACCATAGCTTTTGAACGCATTATGCTTTCTGTGAATTGAGCACTTAGACTAGCAAGGTGTTATAGAGCTCTCCAGAATTAAGCCTTTTAAGATGTGGCCCGAACTGCCATTTGCTTTAGTAAAGGCCACAAGAAACAGGAGGCCTTTCAGTCCATATATCTCATTTGGTTGCCAAGAGCTAAGTGGATCTCATTCAGCCAGTACCATGGCTTCCATCGACAACGTGGCAGATTAGTTCCAGTCCCCCACAACCTTTTGTGTAAAGCAGTGCTGCCTGTGCTGAACTGCAGGATCTCATCCAACTGCTTCTTAAAAGAAGCCAGGGTATCGGCTTTGACTACAGGGCTGTGTAGCCTGTGCCACAAACTCTGAACTGCGGTGTGTTGAGCTATAAATATAATTTTTAAAAAGAATGACAACTTAAAAAAAATCAGAACAACATACTAGGACACCTGTCCTGACACTGCAACAAAGTCTGGCTGGCACCAAAAACGTTTGGATCAAACAGCGGATTGCATCATTTCTACTGGAAATCGAAGCTTATTGCTAACAATCAAGCAGGCAGGGGGTTTATAAGGATAATGTTCAGTGTGGACGTTCTACATCGCAGGCAGGGCGCGGCTGACGAGCAGTAAAGCAGACTACAGGATACACTACCTCATGATTCTGGACCTTTTTCTGTCCATTGGAATGCCAGTGATTTCTGGCAAGAGAGATGCACAGAGCTAAACCTCTCAATGCTATCTGTATATAAGAAGCTGAGCTCTCTACACCAGTTAAATCTACTAACAATCAGGGGAAACACGTACACAAGTTATACCACTGTAATGTACCTTTACTAAGCTGAAAAACCGCAGCCGTCAGTGAAAACTCGCACAGCAGCTAGGATAAGCCAGCATTTTTCCCCGCTCCCTGACTGCGCTGCCCTACGGCACCAGCAATATTAAAAAAAAGGCACTACAAAAGGTTAAAAACACATGGCTTGGTGTGCAAATACACTCTGCTGCGGCTATCCAGCTCTTCCCTGCAAGACCCAGAGCCTCGAACGAGCGCGTCTGTGCGCGGGGGAAACGAGAATGTCCGACGTCGGGTTTCTGGAGATCAAGGCCTTTGCCGGAGACGCCAGGGCTCTGGAGCAGGCTGCCATCCCAGGCGCCGGGTGCCGGGTGCCGGATTGCGTTCCTGGCACAAGTCAAAAGGGGGGGCATGGTGCAGCATAAAGGAGTCTGCGTGGACGGGTGCCGCTAAGCACATGTGCTGAGGCCTGCACGATCAGCCACACGGCTGACTGGCGACAGCCTTGCGCACACACTCGGCTTCACCCACACTGGAATGGGACATCGGGGAGCCCTTGGAGAAGAGGAGGGGATTCTCCCCCCCCCTCTCTATTCTGCAATCTTTGCCCCTTATTTCTTAGAATACATGCAAGCTGCAGAACTAGAGCCACAACCTGGAACTGAAGGCCAATCGCCCCGTGCAGGAAGCCTAAAGGCAGCAGGGACAAATCACTTGCCCTCTGCGTTCTCCTGGTCTGCATTCAGACAGAAAGACGGGGTCAGGATTTTCTGTGCTCAAACACGTTGATCTGGTAGCAGCCCCAGTCGAGTTCAGTCACGCAATGAAAAAACGGAAAATGCAAAATTAAACAAACGTGGCACCAGCTGGATTCCAATAACCTTAAAAAAAAACGTTTTCCTGCAGCTCAAGCGGTGACAGCCATTTCCTTCAGGGTTTTTTCAACCACACTGCATGGGACTTAACTGGCTCCATTTTACAGTACAAGTCAATCTTCCAAAAAATGTGTCCAAGAAACACAATGGTATGAATGCACATGTGGTCCTTTCGGTTATTCAAATAACTGAATTCTTGCAAAAGATAAAAAATAATGTAACCCAACAAAATCACAATTCTGTCGAATTTCTCTGATGGCTGAAGAACACACTGACCTTTCTTTCAGCAAAATTAAAATTCTGCTAATGTCTTGCAAGGCAGTCTTACCTGCCTGACACTTATTTTATTAAAAAAGAAGGGGATTTCTGTAAGTCCAATTTCAACAAATCGTACGACGTGCTTTTTCCCCCCATCCCCTTCAATTCATCAGGATAAATTTCAAAGTCGTTTTAATTCTCAGCAGGAAGCCTCATGTCTTCAGTGTAACAGGACTGCACCACAAAGCTCGGGACGTGAGCTGCAGCACATTACTCGTTTCCAAACAGGCCATGTGCTCATTTAAACCACCAGGCAGGTCACCCTCCGCCCTGCCACTCAAGATCCAATTCCCACAAAGTATAACCATTCCCACAAAAAGACAGGGAAAGAGACCATTCCCAGTGCGGTTGATAAATCTACCGAGATCAAACGAAAACAAGGTCCGCACTGTTCAAGGCCTCAGACTCCGCACTTAAAATGCAAACTCTTTCACAAAAGGAATGTGGACCAGTTAGTTACATTAAAAAAAGCTCCTGCCCACTCCAGAAAGCCTCAAGACAACCCTTTACTGCCAGAAATGTGAGGTTAACACAAAATGTTCACAATACAGTTCATGCTTTTATACATTAGATACAGTTGCACAAATCCCAGTACAGTCTGATTATATACTGCTTGGTTATATGGTTGTACACTGCTTACTCACTGACAACGAGAAAAGGTTGGATGAGTACTTACACAGGACTAGCGTTTAGATTACAGTGATCCACCATCATCTCAGGCAGGAAATCCAGTTTGAAAGAACTCATTTTTCTCAACACCAAAACCCACTCTCAAACAAAACCGAACACTCTTCTCAAGTCTAAAAAAATATATATTTACGAAGCAGCAACCCTTAATGCTGATCTACAGTAAGGGGGGGAGAAAATGCACAGCCAAAAAAAAAAGAGAGACTAAAAACCCACAATCTGTACGATCACTCCCAACACTTTCAGATTAAAAACTTGCATAAAGGAAAACATGGAGGCGAATGGGAGAAAAAAACAACAACAAAAAAACAAGTGCAAGACACAACAGTAAACTTCGGACTGGGAGGACAAAACCTCCCTTCCCAAATTTGTAGCAGATTATCAGGGGGATGCCAGCCTTAAAATGCGGTTTCGCACGAGTCTACAAAGGAAAGTGCTGATGTGCTTTAGTCTTTTTGTGAGCGTTTCTACCACCGAAGCAATACTGATGCATCACGTGTCAGATTGATGTTGATAAGAGCGTGTGACATCCCAGAATGAATGAAGACTGTGAGGGGTTTGATAATCCTGTGCTAATGCTCTGCGCCACAGACAATCACACAGCCATCAGCAGAGCCCTGTTGTTCTTCATCGGGGCTGGGCTGTGGGACAGTGGGGTCACATGGCACTGGTCATGCTGAGGCACTGACTGCCAAAGGACATTCACCACACAGGCAAAAAAATTTTAATGTTTTTGTGCTGTGTGTACATCTTGTGGTTTTTTTTTTTTCTTTTTATACCTGATGCTTTTCTATGGCTTTTATTTCTGACAAAAACGGCCCAGACCACTGCCTAAACTAACCTTTTTATGTGCAATTTCTTTAAAAGAAAATGTTAAAATTCAGATGGAAGAATGAGACATAGAACTACTCTCAGCAGCTTCCTACAAACTTGCAATGCTTTAGTTGGCAGCATCTACCTCTGAACACACACAATTCTTCTGTACAGTGTAAGTGGACGATTCAAACAATCATGGACCACATTCCATGAGCTACAACTGTGGCAGTGCTGTGCTTTTAAGGGATTCTGATTCTTAATGGTATAAACGTGACAGGTTTAAGGGTCAAAGATCAAAGACTTTGAAAAAGCAAATTCCAGAGAAACTGAACATTTCCGCCTTTGGGGCGGGAACTACAATTTTTAAAATTGAGATATTTTGTTCAAAGTCCTTCTAAAAAGGACTCAATATGAAACTCAGGAACCTACTGATGTGAGAGTAGCCCATCAAACTGCAATAGAATGTACAGTAGAAAGCCGCTGTCTGATTGCCAACAGATCAACACCAGTCATGATTCTGTATTCAATCAAACGGCACAGTTTTGTCCAAGAAGGACTTGTGGTTTAAATTTGCTTTTCAGGGCAGTGCATTTCTGCAACTGTCCGTTAAATTGTTCCGATACCTACACAGGCCCCTCACAGAAAACCTTAATAGTGTGTGTTAGCTGCCTGTCTCAACTGGTTTCAGTCTTACACCTTCTTCAAGGTGGCAGCCTGACTACACCCATGTGCCATCTTCTCGAAACGCTCTGGTGATCGGGTCATTCAGAAAGCAGAGTGTGGATCATCTCCAGCAGCAGCGGCCTCAGGTTCAGCAATTGCATAGATGCAGGGACACTTAACATCAGGGCAGTTCTATGAGTTATGTGCTACTTTTTTCAGCCAATATACATGTCAAATTTGTCTGTAAAATCGCAAACCTTTGTAATAGGTGACAAGCGACCCCTGTAGCACTAAAAAAATTGCCTGTCATTTGCTACGGCCTGTGCAGAGAAAAGGGGCAGACAGGCAGAGATTTAATAAAAGACATGGAAAAAACTTTAATCTCATCAGGCAACAGACAGCCCAACAACCTTTTGGCTCATTTTAAGGGACGCTTGTCTGCATTAAACATTTGAAAAGGGTGAACTGTATGAAGAATAAAT